CTCAACAGGGTTGTGACCTGAGTTGGCGGCCTTGCCCTAAGAGAGAGGATTGATTCTTTCTCGCCGTTGAGGTGCAAAAACATTCCGTTTCTGGACAAATCGCCGTCGAGTCTGCATTTTGTCTGTGCATAAGCTGAAGCTTTGTTACATGCCATCTTTGCACATAGAACCAAAAACGTGGAATCCGCACCACAAGAAAAAGCCGTGTGACGAGTACGACATTCGACATTTTGCTCTATCATTGAGTGATCCGGTGTTACGTTTTCCGGCAGTTGTGAACCATTCGTAATCTTGCAGGCGGAGTCGAGTTCAGCCAGCAGCAATCGTTTTTGTTTGGATTCTTGCCGAATTCACGTCCAGCAGAACATGAGAGAATACTTGTTTATTTATAGATGTGTAACCGTAATGACGTAATGCACATGGTTTTGTGTTGTTACCATAGACGGGCCATGACCTGTTCGGTGTCAGGGCAGGACCGTTTAACCATAGGACAGATCTGCGCAGTGTTGCGAGGATAATCGTTGCGTTTATCAAGCCACTTCTTGGTCTTAGTGCAATGAACTGCACACTGATGTTCAGCTTATGTGCTGCCTTTCTGGCTGCTTGCATCTCCGGGTTCACGGCTGAGCATTGGTGGTTTCCAGAGGATGTGAGAGGAGGTATGTATGTTGGAACTGTGTGTGTGTGTGCGCAACTGCAGGTGGCTACTTTTCGTCATGATGCCTCATTACTTGTTCGCGGTTCCGCTGCCGGTTGTTTGCAGGGAGTACCTTGCACGCTGCCCAAAGGCAAAACCACTGCATGTCGGCCGGAAAGCTTGCAGCCCATGCTGTTACCTGATGCCAGATTGTGATCTTGATGACGTTGATGACGTGCTTTGCCGGCTTGTACATTCCATATCGCTGCACCAGGCGAGAAAGAGCGAGAAAGAGACAGAGGGACAGAATGTTGCCAAATTCTGACCATAGTAGATCGGCACACATGATTGGCATGTCCGTTTGATTCCCGTTTCCATGGGAGGCAGCGCCTCTGGCTTGTCATGCCCACGACGAACCTCATCTGGTCTACAGTGCTTTCGATCGCGGCTGAGAGCTTAGAGTGGCTGGCAGTCGTGGACCCATGGTCAGACATGGGAGTCGTCAGTAAGAGTGTGTGTGCCAGGTGAACGCAGCAGTCATTGCCATTGATAGCACCTTTGTCACCGAGGCGCATGCAGCAATCTTGCACTTGCCGGTTTTTGCAATTCGTGATTGCGCCAGTAGCGAGAGTTATTCCCAAAACCGTTAGACATTCATGGTGCACTGGCAGTATCTCCACAAGACTTCGCTCGCTTCTTGGTCCTGGTACATCGTGTCAGTCGGTATCATGTTTCATTGTTTTCAGCCATCTCGACGCCAATTCTGCACAGGTTTACAACATGGCAGATATGTTGGACAACCTGGTCAGGCTGCTGGTCGCAATGGCCGGCCTGGCCATGGTGGCCGTCCCTGAATTTGGGTTTAGGGTTTAGGGTTTAGGGTTATTTGCCATGCAGAGCTGCTGTCCGTCTTTCGATGATGCATACCACAGCCAGGGAGTCAGCATGGATTTCTTCCTCGTTCACTACCTGTATGCCCACGAGGCCAGGCATAAGATACCTCTTCGTGATTCTGGATTCTGTTCACACCCCATACTTGGATAAGAACCGCCATAACAAAACACTGCAGATTTTGCTGGGCTGTTTTGCTGTGCTTTGTGGTATCCTGACCGCCACCAGTCGCGACTTTTGCAATTGGTCACGACTACAGCAGGCACCTGAAATCCGACGTCTCAAGAGAAAGGCATGCCACCCAGCCCATTCACAGAACATGTAGCATGTGCAGGACGGTTTGCGTGCGAGACAGACCGGCTAGATCCATGTTGCAGAGGTATGGAAAATGCTGGTGGGTGGACCTTCAGCGCAGCTGGTTGAATGTGACAACTTAGCCGGGCACCCAATGGCCGTTGACATTCAGGGTATGCTTGGCCAGCTTCAGGCCTCGTCGTGTCCTGGCGACTGTGCAATCTGCTTGTGACCCAGATCGCTTTTTTTTTGTTTCCATGCTTGCCCAGTGCCCGGAATTCCCAGCGGCAGGTCTGGAGCCGCTGTCAGAGCTGAGAGACCGATGCTCGGAGTGCTCCCCACACTCTCTGTTCCACTCCACGGGTTGTTTCACTCCGAGGAGGACTTGGCCTTCAGCCCACAGCGTGGCTCCAAGGCCAGGGGCCCGCGACGCCAGGGCCAGGGCCCCTTTCCGCACAGACTTTCACCCCCGGTGAAGGTGTCGCAGGTGGCAGGGCTGCCCGGGGCTTAGTATGGCTTAGTGTTTTTTGTTTTCTCCATGGCTCCATGGCTTTTCGGCGCTCCGAGCCTGGTTTGAGGTTGCAGCTACCATGTGGGCATGCCTTTCACGGAGAGTGTGCAGATAAATGGATGGTGCGTGAAGTAGTGCACCTGGCTTCAGCTGCTTTCAGTTCTGATTCCAAGCTTCCTGGAGGGAGTCATGTCGTCCTGGCTGTCTCGAGGTCAGCTGTCCCATGTGCAGAAAATCCTTCGGGAGCCTGCGGCACTGTCGCAGGAACCGCCACTTTGAGTTTTGCCATGCACGGTTCGCTACATGTACAAGCAGCTAGAACATGTAGGCGCCTACCGGGCCTGTTGCTGTGATGGTCTCACGATGCAATCGGCGCAGCTCAAGTGCACAGGATTTGTTTGCGGCCAGGGGCCCATTTCTCATCGCCAGGTGCGCCACTGAGAAGTCTCTCAAGGTTTGTATAAGTTTTGAGGATTTGCATGCTTGAGCGCTGTGGGGGCAGAGGAGGGACCACTCCGAGCACGCCATCAGTCGTCGATGTTACGGCCATATTCACAGCGACTCGCCCAACAGATGCACAATCAGATTCTTCGGCAGTGGTTAGCCACAAGGAAGAGGAGGGCTCAGACGAGTGCCCGGATCTCTGTGAGTCTCAGCCGGGATCCAAGAAAAAATCAGATAAGTACCGAAGAGCCCTCGTGTTGAATTTTGCAAGGTCCAACCCCAACCGGGTTAACGTGCAAGTTCTCGGCGTGATTCTCAGTGTTTTTGCGGCTTTGGCTTACGTCCTTGGATATAATTTTGCTATTATATAACTCTATATAACTATATTATAGTTGTCTCTAAACTAGAGACTCTTGTGTTTTTGATTGCTTGTTAGGCTGGAATATATATATATATATATATAAATAATATATATATAATATATATATATATATTCAGATATAGAATATAGAGATCGGAACGCCTTCTGGCTATGCTATTAGCTGTGCAGCAATGCCTTCGCTTCTGAAGGCCGATGTCTGGATGTCGAAGACGAGGACTCCGCGAGTTTCAATCTCTTTTGGGGTTTTCTCCAGGGAAAGGACAAGACCGAGGGAAAGCACCGAATTTTTAGGGCCCATTTGGGAACTTCGACTCTGGATGGACATGAGTCCGCTGTTCAGCAACACTTGCAGCTCCGTGTCCCTTGTCCTGGAAACAACTCCTTGCTCTCGAGGAGGAAGCTTGGAGAAGGAAGAAGGTGGTGTCGATTTGAGAGCCTGTCTGCAATTCAACGCAGCAAGCAGCAAAGACTTTTTCCATGCATATTGGGTAGCAGCAAGCTTCCAAGTTGAATTGCAACAGCAAGTTTTTAGTGCAGCAGAAGTCTTTGAGTGACCTTGCGAAGCAAGTGTGCCTTGGACTTCGTGGGTTTTCAGCTGCCCCGTGTCATTTGTCAATCGACTGACACTCTGGCTGTGCTTGTTTCCTGTGAAGCTGCTCCATGTCGTCATTTCAAGGAGCCAGAACCAGCTCAAAGGCACCTCACTAGCTGTAGAGCATTCGGCCATGCATACTTCTAGTCTCAACTGTCCAGCTCCCCTGTCTCTTTTGATGCCTTATTTCGGTTCTGCATGTCCATGTGCGATGCAAAGATGGGTCGCAGATCAAGTCCTGCAGAGCACAAAGTCGCAGAGCACCGTGCACCCTTTGCACCAAAGCCTTGTGCTCGGTGTTTGGCGCTTCCATTGCCTGCTGCTTAGGGGTTTTCAGCGGTTTCCGAGGGACGCACTGCGCTTCATGGCGGAGCTTCCCAAGTCGCCAAACGTTAATGCAGAACCCGGAAATCTGAGTTTTCACGAAGCTTGAGAGCCTGCTGAGCTTCTTTTGGCGTCTTCGAGGAGGCTCAAGATTTCGGTGACCTTGGCCTGCTGTGACAGAAGGTCGGCCTGCTGGTTTCTTGGCATAAGCTGGTCGGTTGTTTAGGGTTTAGGGTTTGGGGTTTAGGGTTTGGGGTTTAGGGTTTAGGGTTTGGGGTTTAAGGTTTAGGGTTTGGGGTTTAGGGTTTAGGGTTTGAAGCTAAAGACATTTAAAGACGGTTGGAGGCCTCGCCACTGTGATGCCAGGGAAAGTGTAATGCATCAGCTTCGTTCCTATCCTTACGTGAAGTGTCTTGAGGGCAGTTTTCATGTAGACTAGTCGAAATGGAGGCATGTGAGATTCGAAGCTTCATAAGGAATCATGCTCCAGCGCTCCTGCAGCGGCTCCTCTGCTGCGGACCTTGACGCTGGCCTGGAGAGTCTTTCTCAAGTCGTTTCAGGCAGGTGGGTCGGGCTTGAAAGTTGGAGGTCGACATGAGAACACGGACTGTTGAAGGTGCTGGCCTTCCGAAAAATGGGAATGCGGTGCTGTGACTGACTTGTGACTGACTAGGCCCTGTTGTTCCTGTAGGCATGCATGTCCTTGCACACGTCATTGTCGGCACATCTTAACACGATGGGCGAAGAACATAACTCGCCGATTGTGCGCTGTCCAATCGGTGCAATTCCGCTGTTGCGAAGACTGGTAATCAATAATTCCCAAAGGCCAAAGATCAAGAACGTTGCCTGCCCGTGTTAATAGGGCCCGACGATGGGCGGGTCACCCTGTTTCTCATTGCGTTGGCCCCACCCCCCCCCTCTGCACGTGCAAGTGTTTTGGGTATCGTGTTCCAGCCCAGATGAGCGACACAGGCGTCCTGGACGACCCATGTGTAAGCCAGATGCAGCTCACACGAAGACAAAAGCTTCGAGAGCCGCTTGGGGGAGAATGCACGGTTTTATTTTTCCCTTGAAGAATAGTTGGATTCACCTAGTAATATTGTTGTGATGGTGGTTTCTGCAGTTTTGCTAATGTTCCCGAAACAGTGTGGCAACACTATGGGGTTTTTACGTTCGGATGCAAGGGCTTGGGTGATTGAGAATGCAAGACGCGTGCGCGTGTGGCATGCGCCCCTGGCGGATGGCCTGGGGCACAGTTTCAATTGCCATTGCGTTCTTTCCACAGTCCTGCTCCATTGCTTTGGCCGTCCCGAACTTGATGAACCCCATCCCGCCAGAGTGCCGTGCATATTTTAGGGTGTTTTTGGGCGAGAGTCAGCTCAGCTTGACGTACATATTCAAACTCATGGGATCTCACGGGGTGGTCTTGTGAAGCTGAGGGGTTCTCTTAGGTTGCCCATGCGACTCTCGGACTGCTGTTGGTATCGCTAGTGTCAGCAATATTCCCAACAACATTCCTTTTATGCTAGATGTACTCTAAATCTAGATTCTAGATTATACAACCTCTTCGAGGCTCCGTAGTTTAAGTAAGTTCTGACCTACCTAGTATTGTTAAGACTGCTGACACTGAACTTAAGGCGTGTTGCCATGAATGCCAGTGCTACTGCTTAACACATGTCCAACCCGTGCCAGAAGGACGCGTGTACTCTTCGTTTCGATTCGGGTTTCACATGTACGCTTTATTGTCAGTGCCGCCCTTCATGGTTTGGTGCCTTTTTATGTTATCACATCTTTTGAAAGGCCATTGTCACAGACCGTCAATATTGACAAGATTGTCAATATGGGCAGCATTATCAAACCACTAACGACATGTATGTTATATGTTGGCAAAACATATCCTGTGCATCCCCACGGCGAGTGTCGCTCATACTACTGACAACATGTAAGCGCCATTGCCGAGAGAAACTATGGCACTGCTTTGCATGGCAGAACATTGTCCATCAGCCGTGCGAATCTTACCAACTTTTTGGATGCCCCAACTGACCCTTGCCAGAAAATCTGGTGCTATGGTTGTTAGTAGAAAGAGGATTAGTTTTTGCGTTGTTATGATACTTTCTCATGTCGCCACGACCATGACTAAAATTGTAAGTCCTCGATGTTTACACCGTTGCAAGTCTACTACTGTGAATGTCGATCTTCCTATGGGTCGAGCGTCGCCATGAGAACTGCAAGGTGGCAGAAGAAGTTGGTTTTCAATTGAAGCACCATGCAGTCACTAGTCGCGACGGTAGTCCTTCTGATCATGCCAAGATGCATGAGGTTCTTGGTGAAGCACGGGTTCTCACATGCGCTTGGCTCAGAGGGTGTTGAGTAAAGCGAGAGGTCGAGTGGTCAGAGTGGGCAGCGAAGGTTCCAAAGTACTTCTGACCTGGCCAGTCTATTATATTATATTATATTATATGATATGATATGATATTATATGATATTATATTAGATATTTGTGCCAACTTACCGAACAAGCCGTTCCGTCCCCGAAGGTGTCGGAACCCCGCTTGCCTGCTGGCTGCGCCTTCTTCTCGAGGGAGAGCGCTGCTTGGAACTGTGAAACTTCAAACTCGTCTCTCGAAGAAATCGGCTCTTGCTCAGCCAGTGAGATTATTTTGCACGCTTCGTTCGTCCTGTGACAGCCTTTGCTAGTGCGTGACGACGGCGTTCAGCGCCTGCTGGAGAATCGAATTCTGCTTCTCCAGCCGAGGTCTACCCAATCCATGTAGCAGCTCGCCTCTGTGACGACAAGATCATCCGCGCGTTGCTGGCTGAAGGAACTCCAGCCACAGTCCAAACTTACTGTTGGGATGTTGTCAAGACTTCGTCACAAGCTTTACCCTGACCTCCCAGGTACCTACTATATAGGGTACTAGAGCCCCTAGGGCCCCTTTTTTGTAGGTACCTACTATATAAGGTACTAGAGCCCCTAGGGCCCCTTTTTTGTAGGTACCTGGGCGGTTAGGGTACAGGGATACCTCAACCCTAAACCCTAAACCCTAAACCCAAAAGGGACCCTTGTCAACGTGCACGACTTCACAAGCTTTAAGTGCTTGGAGCCGTCAGGTGCGGACCCAATGCAGCGGACCTCCTGCGGCCGGACAGCCGAGGACTTCGCCCGAAAGGGCAAAGGTGACATCGCCGAGGCAGGCTCTCCGTAATTTTTTAAGATGTATTATATATATATATATTATAGTTTTACATATTATTCCTAATATACCGCATGGAAAAAAGGGCAAAAAAGGTAGATCTTTGGGGGTGGGGGTACCATATATATATATATATGTAAAATATACACTCGAAAGGACATGTAGTTTCTTATTTCTATATGCAAATATATAACTGGTTTTGTATGTGCACGTATATGTACGTTCGTATTTGCCTACGTGTATACGTATATATATATATACACGGATATACGGGGAGAATCTTTCTCCCAATTCCGATCTCCCAGCGAACATAGAGTACCATCGTGAGATGAAGTTTCAAGTTGCGTCGGTTGCGGAGGTCCTGGCACTTCTGCAGAGCCACGCCGGGAGTAAATCTGCATCCTGGGTGAAGAGACAGACGTAATGATTCGGGTCGTCGAGACCCGACAGCTCAAAGTCAAAGCACAGTCCAGCGACTTTGCTTGCAGGCCAATCAGCGCGAAGCTGGCCGTGGCCGCAAGCTTCGTTTAGATCTTATCCCGGATTGCCCAGCGTGGTGCTTCGGCATTGTGTACAGTGCAATGCCGTCGCACTAGGCTCGTAGTAATATTTTTCAGGCGCGCGCTAGATATTCTCAGCTCGGATGAGTTGCCATTCTTTTGGATGTAATGTAATTTGCTTTGCTTGGCTTTTGCGCCTCAGAAAGGGCATCCGCGGTTGCTTCCTTTGTTCCGACAAACCCACGGCCCGGGTCTGAAGTCCCAGCCTCGAAGCCTCATCAGCGACCCCGATTTCCATCTACATTGTTATAACACTAGTACTAGTAGTAGTAGTAGTAGTAGTAGTAGTAGTAGTAGTAGTAGTAGTAGTAGTAGTATGAGTATGTGAGTGCAGAGAGTTGCCGC